TACATAGAGAGAGATTCAGAGAGACCTTCCATCCACTGCTTCATTAACCAAATGACTGCAATAGCCGGAGCTGGGCCAGTCCAAAGCCAGGATCCAGGAGCTTCTTATGGGTCTCCCATGTGGGTACAGGGGCCCAAGCAGTTGGGCCATCTTATACTTTTTTCCCAGGTACATTAGTAGGAAGCTGGACGAGAAGTGTAACAGCCAGGACACAAACTGGCACCCATATAGGATGCCAGCATTGCAGGCAGCAGCTTATTCTGCTGCATTACAGTACATGCTCCTGGTATTTTCAGTATATGTGTACAATGTGTAATGATCTTATCAGGCTAATTGATATATCTACCATCTCAGACACTTACTTCTTGTGTTGACAGTTGTAAACATTTTTGACCCTTTATTAACAGACCTTCAATACATGAAGAAAAAACTGATAGAATTATAAGGAGACAAATAACAATTATAGTTGGAGATTTTAATGCCTTCTCTTTTGATAACTGGTGGGAAAAGGGAACAGAAAATCAGCAAGAATGTATTAGTCTTGAGCAACACAACTTGACCTATTTCCCATGTAAAGAGCATTCCACACAATAGAATAAACATTCTTTTCAAGTGTACTCAGAACATTCACCAAGATAGACTATATTCTGAGCCATAAAATAAGTTTTAATAAACTTAAAAGGCTTTAAGTTATATGAAACATACTCTGACCACAGCAGAATTAAATTAATAACGCATATTTCTGGAAAATCCTCAAATATTTGGAAAGTAACGTGCTTCTACATAACCCATGGATCAAAGAAGAAATCAATGGGGAAACCAGATATGATTTCAAACTGAATGGAAATGAAAAGGCAATAAGTCAGAATTTGTAGATGTTGATAAAGTAGTACTTAGAGGGAAATTTGTAGGGGTAAATACCTATATTAGAAGAAAGATCTCAAATCAATGATCTCCAATTCCAACTTACAAATCTACAATAGAGACCAATGTCCTGGCATGCAGCTTAAGCTGCCACCTGCAAGGCCAGCACTCCATATCAGAGAGCTGGAGTCCTGGTTGCTCCACTTCCAATCCAGCTCCCTGCTAATGTGCCTGGGAAGGCTGCGGAGGGTGACCCAAGTACTTGGGCCCATGACATTCACATGTGAGACCTGAATGAAGTTCCTGGGTCCTGGCTTTGACCTGTTCCAGAATTGGCTGTTGCAGCCATTAGGGGAGTGAACTATCAGATGATGATCTCTGTCCTGTCTCTCCCTCTCTCTGTCTGTATTCTGTCTTTCAAATTAAATATTTAAAAAAAAAAACTATAATAAGAAGAGCTAATTAAAGAAGAACTAATAAAGGTCAATGTGAAAATTAATAAGAAAGCAGACAAATAGAAAATAAGTGAAACCAAGAGCTAGTTCTTTGAGAATGTCAATAAAATTGGTAAACCTCTAGTCAGACTGATAAAGAAGCACAGGGAGAAAACAGAAATCACTCATATCAGGAATGAGAAAGTTTATATCACTACAAGTTCTAGAAATTAAAAAGAATGAGGGAGACTGTTAACAACCTCAGTGTATATCAGTTTGGGAACTTAGGTGAAAAGAGCACTTTTTTTTTTTTTTTTTAAGATTTTTTATTTACTTGAAAGGCAGGGTTACAGACCGAGAGAGGGAGATACAGAGAAAGGTCTTCCATCTACTGGTTCATTCCCCAAATGACTGCAATGGCCAGAGCTGGGCTGGTCCAAATCCAGGAGCCAGGAGCTTCTTCCAGGTCTCCCACATGGGTGCAGGGGCCCACGGACTTGGGCCATCTTCTGCTGCTTTCCCAGGCCATAGCAGAGAGCCAGATCAGAAGTAGAGCAACTGGGTCTCAAAACCAGCACCCATGTGGGATGCTGGCACTACAGACGGAGGCTTGACCTGTTGCGGTATAGCGCCGGCCTCAGGACAAATTTCTTAAAAAAACAAATTGCCAAAGCTCATGCAAGAAAAAAGATAACCTGAGTAGCCCTGTGTCTATTTTTTAAAGTGAAATTTTCAATTAGATATTTTACTGGAAAGAAAACTCCGGATCCAGAGTTTTATTGGTGAATTCTACCAAACAGTGAAGGAAGAAATAAAAACAATTCTATTTCAATTCTTCCAGAAATAATTTCATACAAACTCTGTATTTGTTCTTTGACAACAGCATTACCCTGATACTAAAAACCAGTCAAAGATATTGTAAGAGAGGCTGGTGTTGTGGCACAGTGGCGCAGCAAGTAAAGCCACTGCCTGTGACACCAGCAGCCCATATGGGTGTCAGTTCAAGTCCTGGCTGCTCCACTTCTGATCCAGCTCCCTACCAATGGCCTGAGAAAAGCAGTGGAAAATGGTCCCAAGGTCTGGGGTCCTTACTACCCACGTGGGAAACCCAGAAGAAACTCCTAGCTCCTAGCTTCTGGCTTCAGCCTGGCCCAGCCCTGGCTATTGCAGCCATCTGGGGAGTAAATCAGTGGGTAGAAGATCTTTCTTCATCTCTCCTCTCTCTGTAACCCTTTCAAATAAGTAAATAAATCTTAAAGACATAAGAAAGCTATAAATCAATATTCTTCATGAACATAGTGTAAAAATTCAAAACCAGCATTTTAGGAAATTGCATCATGATCTCTTAAGGTTGATCCCAACCTTAATATTAATAAAATTAATAAAAAAATCAATGTAGTTCACTACATTGACAGCTTAAATTCTAAAATGAAAAACTCTGTAATCATTTCATTAGCTACAGAGGGAGCATTTGATTTAGTAGAAAGAAACTCCCTCTGCTTGATAGAATGCTTATGAGAAACCTACAGCGTATTGGTTAAAAACTGAATGTCCCTCCCCCTGCCCAGTATGGTGCCAGTGAGACTGGGCACAGAAGTTTGTGAGAGAGAGTTTTGTTTGCACTTGTTGAGTTTAGGGCCCAACAAGACCTTAGTCATCTAATTGCAGATACAGACATATGAATCTGCAGCTCAGAAGAGCACTGTTTGAACACAGAGCCAATTCAGGGTATTTTTGTTTATTTTTAAAAAGATTTAATGGGGCTGGCACCGTGGCTCACTTGGCTAATCCTCTGCCTGTAGCGCCAGCATCCCATATGGGTGCCAGGTTCTAGTCCTGGTTGCCCCTCTTTCAGTCCAGCTCTCTGCTGTGGCCTGGGAAAGCAGTGGAAGATGGCCCAAGTGCTTGGGCCCTGCACCTGCATGGGAGACCAGGAAGAAGAATGTGGCTCCTGGCTTCGGATCAGTGCAGTACCAGCCAGAGCGGCCAATTGGGGAGTGAATCAATGGAAGGAAGACCTTTCTCTCTCTCTCTCACTGTCTATAACTCTATCTGTCAATTAAAAAAAAAGATTTATTAATTTGAAAGGCAGAGAGAGAGAGAGAAATCTTCCATCTGCTGGTCCCTAAATGCCTGTTGTTGCTAAGGCTGGGCAGGGCTGAAGCTGGAAGCCAGGAACTCAATCCAGGTTTCCAATCTAGGTGGCAGGGATCCAACTTCTTGTGCTGTCACTGCTGCCTCCCATAGTGAACGGGTGCTCAAAGCCAAGCACAGGCATCTTAATCAGTAGGCCAAATGCCCACTTCTGCATACTGAAATCTTAGCCATAATTGCAAGTGGCTACCAGAATATATTTAAACTAGGCATTATCTTATGTAAATGAGATTTAGCCAATCTTTAATGCCAGTATATTACATCACATTCCATTCCATTTAGAGTGGGTGTTTATGCAAGTTGAGGTTCTCCAATTGGTTACTGTACTGTTCTCTGGATAGCTCACACAGACCTACCAAAGAGAATCCAGTATCCATAGCTTTGCAAAGTGCAAGCATTCATTTTTTTCAGTTCAGAGAAAAGTAAGTGAAATACTCTGAGGCCTACTGGGGTTGTGGGCCTTTTATTCCTGTAAATAGCTTACTAATAATGTCCATCCTTTCCTGGACTGAGTACCCCGTGTCATCAGCAACACTAAGAGGTACACTTCCTTGAGCCTTAGTTTCCTCAATTGTAAAAGGGATAAGAACATCAATCCAACATCACTACTTTCATGAGACTGGTTATAATAAGGTAAGCTTTTGGAGGTCAGGTTGTCTCAGTCCAGTTCCTTAATACCTGAACTAGAGCCTGATCCATGGTATAAGCCCAGCAAACATTGGCTGCATTATAACAACCGAATATTTGTTAAACACCTTTGCTACGTGGCAGTCATTCCAAGTGTTATTTATTCCATAATCCTGACTTAGGCCCCCAGGTGACCAAATTTAATGTATTATTTCTCTGGATAAGTGCTAAAGGGAACCTGGAGTGACTACAGTCCCTTCTCCACAGACAATTACAAACAAACACACAAAACAATGTTTGCCTTGCAAATAGAGCTCACAACCAGTCTCCTAGCCCATTTGTGCACCAGATTGCTGCTCTCAAATTCCCTTTCTGGAAAGAAGCACCCTCTGCCGAACTTCTGCAGGAGCTGTGGAAGTGTGGAGGGACCTAACTGATCCAAATCCACACACTGACGGCCCTTGAGACAGGAACAGGAAACTTTTGAAAGCAGCCTGGCAGGCATACGCCTGGCAACTTGAGATAAGGCTGCAACTGCAGCTAAAAGGGTCCCCTCCCCAGGGCCTCATCCATGCCGCGGTCAAAAGAAGCCGGCAGCCTCTTCACCGGGAGCCGGCTAGGGCTTCTATTTGTGTCCCGGTGGACTTGAGTGGTGGGAGTGGGGCCAGGAGCCCGGGTCCCTCCTTCCAGGGAGCTCTGTGGTGCTGGGGGCAGGAGTGGCGTAGCCCAGGTGGGTGCCTCGGGCCCTTACTCAGCACAGCCGGCCAGAGGCAGGCGCACAGCTGAAACGTTTCTTCTCCCGAGCGCAGGTCTTGGTGACCGGGGCGGGGCCTCGCGCCACTAGCTCCTCCTCTCGAGGGAGGGCTCCTCCCCGTGGGGGGCGGGCCCTGGGGGCGGAGCCAGGGCCAGCGGCCCCCGCCTCTCGCCGGCTGGTGGGTTTGGATGCGGCGCGGGGGTTGTATGCGGCTCTGGCTCCTCCCAGTGGCTGGCCGGGGCGGAAGCAGGAGGCGGGGGCAGCGTGCGCACTGCTGGTCTCTTCTCCCGCGGCGTTGGGGCCCGCGCTCCGTGACTGCTCGCTGGATTCGGCGCTCAGCCCGTGGCGGGCTCCTCTGAGCGCCCGGCTCCTTCTTGAGCAGGCCTCCCTCTCAGCCTCGGCTCGCGGCGCCGACCCTTCGGGCAGCCTCCCGCCCCGTCTCGGACTCTCGCCGCCACCGCCGCCGCCGAGGCCCTAGCCCCGATGGCTCTCTGCAACGGAGACTCCAAGGTCAGTCTCCGGTGTGAGGGTCCCTGCCGCACCGGCTTCCGGAGGCGGCGAGGCTCCATGGCCAGGGAGCCACCGCGCGGGGCCCGCCCCCGTCCCCAGTCGCCCCTGCGCAGCCCCGCGGCCCGGGCAGCGGTGCGTCGGAGTGTCTCCGGTCGGGGCCTGTGGCGTGTCTTGTGCTCCGGAGCGGCGGGGCTTTGTTGATTTTTGTCTGCGCGTCGAGGTCCGCGCGTCGGGGAGGGCGTCAGCTCCCCGCGGCCGCACCGCCGGCCCCCGCCTCCCCCGCGCCGCTCCGGGGCGCCGAGCGAGTGAGCGCGGCCGCGGGTGGGGGTAGGGAGGCGAGCCGCGTGCGTGCGAGGGGGGCTTTCGCGGCCCCTTCCCTGCCCTTCGGGAGGCGGGGGCCTGTCCTGGGGGACCCTGGGGCCCGCCGAAAGCAGAGCAGGGTAGGGGCTTCGCGTGCGGCGTTGCAGCGGGGCCGGCCCCTCGTCTTCCCGCCACCCGGTTTCCCGCCTGCCCTCGATGAGGCCCGTTTGGTTCTCCCACGCCTGCCTGGGGGTCCGCGGCGGCAAGGCTGCCTTCGGCGAGACCCGCGTGGCTGCATCCCTCTCACCGCGGGTCACCCTCGGGTCGGGTCTGTCGCCTCGTTCCCCTTCCCCCTCCCCCGCCGGGGAAAGGCCGTGTGTCCAGGTCCCGCCCGCATCCAGCTTTCTCCTGCTTCGCTGGAGGACCCGTCGGGATCCCTCCCCGGGCTGCGAGCGGCAGCCTGCCGGCCCGAGGGTCTGGGGTCGGGAGTCCGGCGTGCCGGAAAAGTTGCCGGCTTCGAGTGCTTGAGCGGGGCGAGCTCGCTGGTCCGCCGCCGCGCTTCTCGCCTCCAACTCACTTTTTCCTTTAGACCCTGCCGCCCCTTCGATCCCGGTTCTGAGTTGGGCACCCACGCTTTCGCTTCCATATGAAGTTTCATTTTGTGTGGAGTTCTTTCCGACCGTCGCGAAGTCAGTTTTGTCCCATGGAAACTTCAGTTTTCTGTTGTTATTTACTTGAGCAGTATGTATTTCTTGTACACTGCTTATGGCCTACCTTTACGAAAATAATTTTCATTCTGGTGTGTGGAATTCCAGATTTGGGGTGGAAATTGATGTTCCACGGCGATTAATAACTGTTAATAGCGCATTCAGGCAGAATTTTAATAGTCTCTTGCAAGAAGGATGCAAAAAAGTGGGTCCTCCATGTGAACGGTTGCTTAGTACCTGGTAATCGTTCCAAAAGCGTTTAACGAGCCAAGGTGGTGAAGAAGCCGATACACAGTCAAACCGAGGCACCTATGAGGCTCAGAGCAGCAGCGCATCTTCGTTATAAAGCTGAATGAAGACACTCAAACTTTGAATTTCTGACCTCAGAAGCTAATGTAAACCTCAGTGTTTGCTCTATATTGGTTGAATTGCTGGTGATTTTTCTTCCATCATTAGCTTTCAGCCTTGCATCTTACTGGAAAGACTTCATCTTTACGTTGTGGATGAACAACTGGTATTAGATGGACTCAGGCGTAATTGACAGGCTGTGAAAAATACATTGCACTTGAGAAGAGTATTTTCACAAAATCAAGTGATAGCACAAAATTTGAGATTCAGTATCCAAATTATTTTATCTGTCTCAGGAGTATGTAAGATAGATTTTTTTCCCCCTGGCTAATATCTTTGTTTTTCTTCACTTGGAATTTTATTATTTTTCTAAAATTTTATATAAATGGCAGGGAGTGAGAGAAGCAGCCAGAGATCTCTCATCCTCTGGTTCACTCCCCAAATGCCAGCCTCAGCTGGACTTGGGCTGGGCCAGGCTGAATGAAGCCAGGGGCGGGGAGCTTAGTAGCAGGTGCCCAACTACCTTGACACATTAAGAAACTGAATAGGAAGTTAATCTGGGCAGGCACTCTGATTTGGTATGTGGGCATCCCAAGTGGCATTTAAACCAGTGTGCCAAATGCCTGCCCTTGACTTGGAATTTTAAAGAGGATCTTAATTAGTATGTATATACTTTTAATTTTTTTTAAAGATCTATGTATTTTGAAAGCCAGAGTTACAAAAAAGAGAGAAATCTTCTATCATCTGATTCACTCTCCATATGGCTGCAGCTGCCAGCACTGGGCCAAAGCTGAAGCCAAGAGCTTCATTTGGATCTCCCATATGGGTGGCAGGGGCCCAAACACTTGGGTCATTTGCTACTGCTTTTCCCAGGCCATTAGAAGGGAGCTGGATTGGAAGTGGAGCAGCCAGGACAAAGACTAGCACCCATGTAGGATGGTGACATTGCAGGTAGCGCCTTTATCTGCTAGGCCACAATGCTGACTTTTTTTTTTTTTTTTTTAATAATTAATTTATTTGAAAGGCAGAGTTAGAGCAAGAGATCTTTGATCTGCTGGTTCACTCCCCAGATGGCTGCAACAACCAGGGCTGGGCCAGGCCAAAGCCAGGAGCTCCATTAGGGTCTCCCACATCAGTGGCAGGGACTTATTCCAGTCCTGGCTGTTCTACTTCCTGTCTGGTTTCCTGCTGATGTGCCTGGGAAGGCAATAGAAGATGACCCAGGTACTTGGATCCCTGCTTTCCATGTGGGAGACCAGGAGAAAGTACCTGAGTCTCTGTAACTGCCTTTCAAATGAATTTTTTTTTTTTTAAAGATGCCTCATCTAAGTGTCAAACTTTGGATTGGAGTAGAGGTGATAATTTGTCTCATCACCTTTGCTGGCATGTGAGGACTGCTTAGATTAAAGGTGTTTCATAAATATTCACATATTGATCTCAAATGATATAAAATCTTCAGTGGTACCTAATGTTAGTTACATTTGTAGTTTTGAAATTTTTTAAATTTTGAATTGAGAGGTAGAATGGTGGAGGGAGGGAGAGAGCGAGCGAGCAAGCAAGCATGTGTGCCCCCAGTCTCTGGTTTTCCTTCTTCAAATTGCCTGCATTGGCCAGGGCTGGAGCCAGTAACTGGCAGCTCAACCTGAGTCTCCCTTGCGGGTGGCAGGAACCCGGTCACTTGAGCCATGACTGTGTCTGCATTGGCAGGCAGCTAGAGTCAGGAGCTACAGCCAAGAATTGAACCCAGGCAGCACAGTGTGGGACACAGGTATCTTAACTGGCCATTCCTCAAATGTTAATTTCAAATTTGGGATTTATAAATTTTAAATTTTGAGATGAATGGAAATATAACTTGGGCTTTTTATCAAAGATACATTGAGAATTAAACACTTATCTGTATCACTATGTATGATGGCTTAGTAAATTTCTTTCAGAAATCAAAAGTATTTTTTTCCATTGAGAATGGAAGGGGTGCTACAGGAAAAGCAAATGGTTTTTATTGTGTGTTCCTAGACTAGAAATATTTTTGAAGTTTTGGGGACCTCAGATGATACTGGCTTAAGGAAAATGTCTTAACTTTTAAAAATATACAGACTTGCAGTTGTTCAAATGTTTTTGATACCTTTTTTTGAGCACCAACAGCACACGTTATTCAGTTGGCAACGAATAGAGAAATGGGAACTTAGCTCACAAATTGACATTTTGGTCAATTTTTTTTTTTTTAAAGGTTCATGGACTTATTTGAAAGGCAGAGTTAAGAGAGACAGAGTCGATTTTCCTTCTCCTGATTCACTCCCCAAATGGCCACAATGGCCAAGGCTGGGCCCAGGCAGAAGCTAGGAGCCTCATCCTGGTCTCCCACATGGGTACAGGACACCAAGTCCTTGGAAGAGCTTCTGCTGCACATTAGCAGGGAGTGGATCAGAAGTAGAGCAGCCGGGACTCATACTGATGCCCATATAGAATGGTGTCTCAGGTGTCTCAACTCTACCACAGTACCAACCCCTTACCTTTTTTTATAAAAAAGTAAATTATATTCCAAAGGATGCTGCTTGAAATAATAATTCTTTGCTATCTAGAAAGATAAAATTTTTACCTGTTGTGGTGCTTAAACTTTGTTTTCATGTTAGACACTTAAAATGAATGAAGGCTTTGGGGTTAATACATTTTTTAAAGATTAATTTATTTGAAAGGCAAAGTGATGGAGGGAGGGAAGAGGAGAGGAGGAGGAGAGAGAGAGAGGGAGGGAAAGAGAGAGAGAGAGATTGGATTGCATCTACTGGTTTTCTCCCCAAATGGCCTCAATATTGGGTTGAGTTGGGTCAGGCCAAGGCCAGGAGCCAGGAACTCCATCTAGGTCTCCCACATGGGTGGGATAATGCAGAATAGAGCACATACATAATTGCGAAGTGTTCCTTCTGCGCTTATTGGGAATAGAGATGCTTCTGTGTTTACTCCAGAATCATAGTGGTAAAACAAAACAAAACACAGCTTTACTATAGTAGTAGCATGACAGTTAATCCTGGTCATAGCTTCAGGTTCATGGTTTTGAGGCCTTAAATACTTTATGTAGTTAAATCCGTTCCCTCCTTAAGATTGTCCATTATAATAGAATTGGGAGTGAAGTGTTTGATATAATAAGTGACCATATACTCTTATCTAAATTATAGGACTTTAGCATAAAAGCAATTATGAAAAACAATTTATAGTAATTGCTATAAAACAGATAGTTAGCAAACTAAATAATTATGGATTTATGTAATTTAGGAAATAAATAAAAGGCAGTACTCCTGAAGGAAGAGTGTTCTGATTGTTCTCTTCTGTACATCATGCACAGAAACTCATAGCATCTTTTTTCCTACACGTATTTCACAAATATCTTTTGTTTGCCAATGAACTAGCTTATAATGGCCTGGCACATCCAACTGTGACTATGGCACTACTGGCAGGTATAACAGATGGCTGGCAGGAGCAGCAGTTTGAGACATTTCTCCCATCATCACCCAGTGCTGGGTAGAGATAGCTACCCCTGGTTGCCAGTGTTGAAGTGTATTTCATTATGTCAAGAAAGATTTTTTTAAGTGCTTAGCTTTCTGGCTCTTCTAAAATTTAAAGTGAAAACTTCACTGTACCTGCAACCCACAT